AAATGAATTAAAAGGGAAAAAAAAGATCAGTGTTTTCCAACATTCCTACACTGCAATCTGTGCTCACTCTCACATGCGCCTGAGGTGCGGCACACAGTGGTAACTGGGGGACGGAGGCAAGGAGCACAGGTGCCCAAAGTCCAAAGGTAAGACCAGAGCAGGGCCAGAGACATCAGGGTGAGGTGCTACCACCGTAATCTAATAAAGATACCAACAAAGATTTGTAGGTAAGAATGACTGACAAGGTTTTAAAAGTTTCTAAAACTTGAAGACACTCTCAAAAGCTGGAAGGACCTTTTGAACTATGTTGTTCATATCAATGCGTGTGGGCCAGGCTCTACTACGCCACTGGAAGTTCTTTTTTTGGGGGGGTCCGGTTGTGGGGCCTAAACTCTGGGCCTGGGTGCTGTCCCTCAGCTCTTCAGATCAAGGCTAGCGTGGAAGTTCTTATCATGACATGACACTGGCCAGGAAGGGAGCCACCCACCAGGAGGGCAAGAGCCACTGCTGCTGGAGGAGGGGAATCTGATTGATGTAATGTAGGGAACTAGCACCTAGCCCTGGCACACAGGCACTGCTGAGTCAGTCAAATATCTGCAACACTGGCCCTCATGATCCACTTGGCTCAACTTTGTAACTACTACATGGAATTGGGAAGTGAGTCAGGTGAAAAGAAAAAGGGGTGCTTGCATGGATCCAATCCAGTATGCTAGACTGTTCTAGAAGGGTTACTGTTGGCACTACTTGAATACCTCACACCCAGTCGGGCCTGCCCCACCTCAGATGTGGCTTGGGGTAAAAAAGCACCTTAGCCTGGAATAACGGACCTCTTACCACTGAAACCTGCAACCGCTGGTCTGTTTCCTCATACAGGAAAAATGAGAACCAGCAGTGACTCCATCTACTTCCTGAAAGGGCAATAGTGAGGATCCAATGGGAAGACTGCAAGCTACCCAGTGTGTTCCTAAGTTGCTTGGTTTCTGGTGGCTATGGAGCACCTGCAGACTAAACAATCCATCCCTCTGATCAGTGAGCCACTGCCACCAACAAGCAGAAACCTCCTGAAGCTCTATTTCGTCTGATGGGCAGCCACTGCTGACCAGCCCAGCCCATGCTATCTCTCATACAAATCAGACACTTCATGTCTGGTTGCAGTCCAGTTTCTAAACAATTGAGATCACTGTGTATCTCATAGTAGGGTTCCCTTTTCACTCTCTAATAAAAGTCCATGCTAATAGAAGACAGTAACAACTACATCTACATTTTTCTTAAGTAGTGTGTCAATTTAAAAAGTGAATGAGGCTGGGAAGGTGGCTCAGTGGTAGAGCGCTTGCCTTGCATGCATGAGGCCCTGGGTTCGATTCCTCAGCACCACAGAAGCAGAAAAAGCCGGAAGCGGCACTGTAGCTCAAGTGGTAGAGCTCTAGCCTTGAGCTGAAAAGCTGAGGGACAGCATTCAGGCCCAGAGTTCAGGCCCCACAACTGGCAAAAAAAAAAAAAAGTGAATGATTTTGATGGAATCCCTTCTTCCCTGGAATACAGGAACAGACTCTATCCAGACCAGGATTGTAATTGTAATTGCCCCCAAAGCAATCTCACGTCTTGAAGTTAAAGGTGAGGTAGATAACAGTTTTACCATACCCACTTATAGCTCTGTCCTTCAGAGTCATCTCCAAAAGAATACTGTATTTCTGAATCAACCACACTACCTCTAAAGCGACTGTTTCTTCTTGAACAGTCACACAATATTCTACTTTCAAGACCCTTGATTTATTAAAGGCTGGCTCCTAACCACTTATGTCCTTTTAACAGCCTTTGCTTTTCCACATTAGAGTCCTACCTCTTTTGTCTCCTCAGAATTATACTCTGCTTTAAACAAACAATCAAACACATGAGCTCTACCCTTAGCCCCGTCTCTGAATCCTAACTAGCTCTACCTGATCCTCATGGAAGCAGGAACTGAACTGCACATACTATTAGTGGCCAGGCACAGCACAGTTTCCCACAAGGGTATAATAGTATATGGTTTCTGTCCAAATTCTAAACAATAATGTCCTTAGGAATCTCTCCAGTGCACAACCACCTTCATTCACAGCAGTTTGTGTCTGGCTCTTTCACATTTTCCTTACAGGCACCTGCTTCTTACTTTTCTCCTTATGACAAATCTATACAATGACCTGATATCTGCTGGGATGTGAATAATGCTTAAAAGGTCAAATGCTTAAAAAGGCCAAAGAACTTGCCCAGCTGGATCCAGCATGTAAAGCTAGTACCAAATCCAGAACTCTTTCCCCAAAGTAATTTGATGCCACCAGCCAATCTGGAGACCTCCCTTTCCAGGAAGAAATAAAATACTAAATAAAATCTGCCTAAACACTGAGAACTAATTTGCATTCTACCTTTAGAGAAAAACTGTGATCCTTACCTTTGTTTCCCTCCCTCTCTATGCTGGGAATCGAACTCAGGGCCTTATGAATGCTAACTGCACACGGAATTAGGATTGCACTAGACCGTTGGCCCTTAACAATTTTTTATGTTCAACTCCATGAAGGAGCTGAAAAGGCTTGTTGACATTCCTGATAGCTGGCCCATATCCGCTTGCATAAAGACTTTAAAATCATACCATTGCAGGGAGCCAGTGGCTCACACCTGTAATCCTACTCAAGGCTGAGATCTGAGGATCATAATTCAAAGCCGGCCTAGGAAGTAAAGTCTGTGAGACATTTACCTCTAATTAACCAACAAAAAGCTGGAAGTAAATTTGTGGCTCAACTAGCAGAGCACTAGCCTTGAACACAAAAGCTCAGGCCCTGAGTTCAAGCAAAATGACTGGCATGCACACACACACACCCCAACACTAGTAGGGTGTGATGTTGTATTCAGTGTGCACAAGCTCTTTAATGGGTTGCACCTGTTTGTGTAGTGGAACACTCAAGTCCATTCAACTCCACTTGTGTGTTCTATTTCCAGTACGTCTTAAACACAGGATCATGTATTCATGTAGCTTTGCAGTACTTAAAACCAACTACCAGACAATGGCTCTCAGGCTCTGAGGAACCTGGCCGAATTCCATTCTTGTTCCAAACATGTCTAATTCTTCACTTAACCAATCAGGTTCAGCCAGTCACACTGCCGTAGTTATTCCCAAGGATAGTTACCCTACAAGAGAGCCTCTTCCTTTATAAGATACCAGCTAACCCCACTGCCTGGACTGCCCATCTGGATTTGGGTCTATCTCCAGAGCTGGAGTGCTCCCATCATCCTCCTTGGTCCTTGCTCTTCTCTGCTGACCGGAATTTCCCTCTCCCACACCTGCTTCATGACTGAATTACTCACTCTACACACACAGTCCCAAAAAACTGCTAAAGTCTTGTTACTGAACTGAACCTGTGAGCAGGGACTCAATGTTCACTTCCCTACATACTCCTTCAGTGCCAGCACTGCAAACGGGGACACAAGCAACACAAATGCTTCTCATTGGACATGTCCATGGAATGGAAAGAGCATTCTCTCTTCTAGAGGTGCTGCTCTCACTGCTCAGGACCAGTAACTCCCTTGACAGAATGACTGCTGCCAGAAGTCTGGCTACCTGGTTCATTGTGATAACTAATTATCTGTTCATGAAGATCAACATACCATGCAAACTGAAACCTGGAAGAGTATAGATAAATTCCTAAAAGAGTGAAATACACTGCTTATAAGGGATTTTCAGCCAGGCGCTGGTGGCTTACATCTGTAATCTTAGCTACTCAGAAGGCTGAGATCTGAGGATCCTGGTTCAAAGCCAGCCCGGGCAGGAAAGTTCATGAGACTCTTATCTCCAATAAGCCACTAGAAAACTGGAAGTGGTACTGTGGCTCAAGTGGTAGAGCGCCCAAGCCCTGAGTTCAAGTCCCACGACCGACAAAAAAAAAAAAAAGAAAAAAAAGAATTTTCATCTGGAATATTACATATTGACTTTTTTTTTTTTAACAGTGATTAAGAGTCTGAACTTAAAAAAATCTCATGCGTGCTAGGCAGGTGTTCTACCGTTCAACCCATGTTTCTGATCCCTTGCTGTTATATTGCTTTATAGAAATTAATATTTTAACCACTGGTATCAGGTTTCGCAGAAAAGTCACACTTTCCCTCTCTAATTTTTTTTTGTCAGTCGCGGGTCCTGAACTCTGGGCTTGGGTGCTGTCCCTCAGCACTTCCGCGCAAGGCTAGCACTCTACCATTTGAGCCACAGCCACTTCCAGCTTTTTCTGCTTATGTGGTGCTGAGGAATCGAACCCAGGGCCTCATCTATGCAAGGCAAGCACTCTACCACTGAGCCACCTTCCCAGACCCTCTCTCCCTAAATTTAAAGTCACATGGTCCTATAAGAATCATAAATAGAAATACAATTAAAGAAATCACATTAGACCTAGGTAATCAACCTGATAGAGTGGTGAAAAAGCTAAAGAAATCACTGGAAATTTAAGCCCTTGATGTGTTTTCTCCTATGATCTTATACAAACAAACTCAATTGATGATTCTGAATTCCTCAGCATTGACACACTTCTAATAACAAAGCGTACGATTACAATGCCACAGCAAGTCACCTAATTCACCAAAGAGAACCAAATTAGGATAGCAGTGTTAGTTTTCGCTATATACTTCATGAACAAACCATAAGGACATATTGCCATAAGGATATATTGCCATTAAAAAAGAATGGAGCATAGTTTTGGTTCAAGGGATCATGCTAGAGTCAATAAGACAGATGTTATCGTAAGAGAAGTTATCGTAAAATGATAGACACACGTAGCAGGTGATGAACTGAAGTTCTTACCCGGCTGACAGCCCCAGGACAATTCCTTTGAGATGAGAATAGCACCTTTTATTTAGCTTATGAAGGCATCATCCCTATGCAGTTATAAGAAGCCTGACCTAAGAATCCTCAGAATATTCTCACAGCTGCTCAGACCTAGGGGAATGCACGTGGGTAAGGTGAATTCTTGGTGAATACTACTCACTGATCTTCTGTTCCAAAAAACTTCACAAAGAAGCATTTCTTTCCACGTGGTTTCTTCAAGTCCTTGGGTGGATTAACAATCTAGAAAACAGAAAAAACAAAGGGAGGGGGAATTGATGGCAATACAGCAGCATACTAGAAAAGTATTTTTAATTCTAAACTGGAACAAAAGGAAAAAAGGATTAAAAAAAAAAGCAAAGGAGTATGTAGAAAAAGAACCCAGAGCCTAGTGCTTATCTCTGGCACTTTTCTACTCAGCTGGGTGGAAATGTACATACTTTCTAGCAGTTCCCTGCAGCTAACATGTTGCACAGCTTTAAGGAGATACAGTATCTCCATCACTGCTATGGCTCCTGTCACACCAGTGGTCAAAACTAAGTTCACTATCATTCTCCCCATGGACCTGTCATCACTGAGGAAATGTACTTCAGTTGCAGGAGGAGTTGGGACTAGAAACAGTGCAAGGAAAGGAAACTGAGGCATAGAAAACACCATATTGCACAATCTAAAGCCATTTCCTGGATCCCTGGCAAGAATATACAAGCAGAACACTTGGAGAGCTACCATAGATCACCTCGTGCAAAATATGGAATGCCAACTCCAATGCAAAGATGTACTGGGAGCAGCACATATGGTAACAAGGGAAGAGGATTTAAACTTAGTCAGGACAAAAATACTTTGGCTTTTCGCTAACCTACATTTAGATGTCTCTCTTCCTGGAAAATTTATTTTCTTCTCCTTTTGTTAGATTTAAGCACATAACTAAGTCCAAATCAGAATACATTTCTGGGGTTAAAGACAACAGCATATTTCACAAACCATTTCCGATTCTAGTAATAATCGATTACTGCAGGTGAAATGATCTGTTTTATATCATGTTACATTCTGTAGTTAACTTGAAACTGAAAGTCTGAGTGCTATCTGAATGAGTGCAGTTTAATTCAGTGCTGCTGGCTAGGCAAAGCATATCTATCTCATTTCTCACCTCTTCAAACTCAACTTCAGATACTTTTTCTTTTCTTTTCTAAGTAGGAAGCCAACTCACCTTTCCCGGCCACGGAGGATACCTGCCGAGTTTCCCCCTGGAGAAAACACACAAAGAGTCAGAACTTGTCCTGGAAAATCCAGTCCATCTCCTTCAACCCACTCAACATGCAATTTATGCTACTAAATCTCTTCGGGCGCTAAGTCGGTGCCAGAACAAAAGCTGGCCAACCCGGAGAGTTCGGAATCCGGCTTCCACGGCTGGGCCCAGGATCCTCCGAGGTGGGATGCAAAAACTGCCTAAGTAAGTGCGTGAGGGGACCGTGCTTTCTTCTGATTGACAAGGGACACAGAACAACAAAACCGTCAAGAGTCACTTGTCTGGAGCCTCCCAGGTGACCGGGGTGGGGGGGGGGGGGGGAACAGCTGCGTCTGTAAACACAGACTTCCTCTAACCAAGTCTGGTGGAATTCACCAGGAGACCGGCAACACGGCTTTGACAAATGCTAATGGAAGCCTCGTCGGGATCAGGCAGCCAACTACGCAGCTCCGGGGAGGCGACGGTGGTCGGTCTCGGTTCGGGCGACGGCCGGGGGGACGCGGGAGCAGACCACCAGAGGCGCCCAAGGCGGCCCCGGCCACCGCCGGGCCATCGATCGTCAGAGAAGTCTCCCTTCCGCTTCTTCCAGGTCAGCGCCGGCGGTCGGGCGTGGACACCGGCGGCGGAGCGGGCCGCGCGGGGCTCGGAGGGGGCCTGCCCCGGCGGGATGGCCTCGCGGGTCCCCCGGAGCTCCCCAGCCTCCCGGGGAGCCTCGGCAGGGACTCCCGGGAGCCGGCGTCCTCAGGAGCCGCGCGCCGCGCGGAGCCGCCCTCAGCGGTGGGCGCCGGCATCCGGGTCCCGAGCGCAGCCCTCCCCGGGACGGCTTCGGAGCGCTGAGCCCGGCCCTCCGCGGCCACCCTCGGCCTCGGTCCCCCGGGGACCGACTGCCCCTTCCGCCCAGTGTCGTCCGCGTCGCCGGCACCCCGTCTTCCCCGCTCTCCGCCGCCAGGAGCGTGCAGAAAAGCAGCTCCGGGGCTAGCGGCAAACCCCCGCGCCCAAGAGGGCAGCTTCTCGGCGCATTTCGCTTGGCCCGGGCCGCCGGGACTCACCACACCAAGTCGCCGAGCCGCAGACTCACAGCCGCCATCTTACCACCCAACCACCGCCGCCGCACGGGCAGCCGGGAACTACAGGTCGCCCCGCGCCGCCCATTGGAGTGGACCTGGCCACGTGACGGGGGCCGGCTGTCAGCGGCCACGCCGCCGCCCTGACGTCACCGCGGCCGCCGCAGCTCATAGGCTGGCGCGGCGGCACGTGACTCGGGCGCCTTGGTCTCCGCGCGCCGGAGCCCCGAGACTCCCGGCTGTGTTCCCCCTCTTTCGGGCTCGTGACAACGAAGCGTCCACGGTTGGTGGTGGTGGCGGCGGCGACTGTGCGGGCCGGCCGAACGCGGGAGAGAACCGGCCTCGCGGCCCGCGGGGCCCCTAAGCGCCGCACTCAGCTCACCTCCCCCTCCGCGGCGCTTCCGTTACAGCCGTTAGTCGGGCGCGGGCCCCGGGCCGTTCCCGAGCCCTGAGCACCCGCCGGCCCCCATCGCTGTCTTCGGGAGCTGCCCTGACGGACCTCGGCGCGGCCTGGAAGCCAGTTTCTGCCGGAGCTCGGGGTCCCGCGCTCGGTGGGCTCCGCTCGGCCGCAGCCCGGGAGGGCCCGCTACCTCGGGGTCCGCGCTCCGGATCCGGGACGCCTCGCTGGCCGCTGCCGCCACGGGCTTCTGAGAAGCACCTTCCTTGCTCGACGGCCGGCTCCCCAGAGCAGCGTCCGAGCCTCGGATCGGCGCCGCCAGCCCTGCCGGGGCGCTCGGTGGCCGCCCCCCTCGGCGCCGCCCGACTTGCTCCTCGGACGTGGAGTTGGCATTTCTCCGCTTCCTCCCCGGCGGGCGCGGCCGACGAGCTCTTCTCCCCCCGTTCTCCCAATCCCGGGGCGGGGACCCCCCCCCCCCCGCCATGGGCCGCCCGCCCGCCCGCAGGCAGGGCTCGGCAGCCGGCCGCTAACCGCACGGCGACCCGGGGTCCCGGTCGTCCCGACCGGCAATGAAGACCGCCGCGGGGAGACGAGTGCAGTCCGCGACGGCGCTGGGGACAAAGGTGCGTGTCGGGGTCTGGGCTCCCGGGTTAGCCCGGCGGTAGTTTTGACACTTTGAAAGAAGTTGTGACAGCCAGGAGGCTGACGTCAGCGCTCGCCGCCGTGGGGCGAGAGAGCGAGCGGGGCCGGCGCCCAAACTTTTGTAGACCAGGTAGAAGAAGCCGGGCGTTCTGCCAGAGGCCCCGTTCCCAGGTAGGGACTCCCAAGGGTCCAATTCCTCCGTGTAGTCTTAGCGCAGAAGTAACCTGGCTTTCCTTGGGTCACCTCTGTCTTGGGAGGCTGGGAGGGCTACACGCCCTTCCTCCCCCTACCCTTCCTCCCCCACCCCCGCCTCCCAGGCGTTGGGTTGGCCAAGGTTCTGGTGGTTCCTGTAGCCTGGCCTTTTGCTTTGGGGAAACAGCTTCCTTAAGGTCTGTGAATTCGTCGCAGGGACTGTCATGGAGTGTCAGGTCTACATTTAAAGACAGACTCACGGACTAAAACGTACTTAAGAGTCTGGGAAATCATTTAATAAAATTCCACACATGTTCCTAATTTAGAACTTCTAGGTTTTTTGGTGTTTTGTTTTGTTTTTAGGAATTTAGGTATGCTGTAATGATTTGGTGTACAAAAAGAAAAGCAAAACGTGAAGGGTAGCATCGTCCTTGATCTAGACGTATTCTCACTAAAGTCAGGGAGTTGACAAAAGGATGCCTTGGCGATTGTAGCCAATGCAATAAGACAAGAAACAAAAATCACCATGGCCGGGCGCAGGTGGCTCACGCCTGTAATCCTATCTACTCATGGGGCTGAGCTCTGAGGATCACAGTGCAAAGCCAGCCCAGGCAGGAAAGTCTGTGAGACTCTTATTTCCAATAAACCACTCAGAAAACCAGAAATAGTACTGTGGCTCAAGTGGTAGAGTGCTAGCCTTGAGCTGAAGAGCTCAGAGACAGCGCCCAGGCCCAGAGTGCAAGCCCTACAACCGACAAAAAAAAAATTAAAAAAAAATCACTATGATTTTTCCAGAAAAGGAAGGACTGTGGATGAAAGTACTGTGGTTTTGGAAAAAAGGAGTAAAAACCCAAGAATTCAGTGAAAGGGTTAATTACAAAATTAGTATATAGCAGAAGTGAGTTCATTTTTTTCTGTTTTATCAATAACTAGTTAGAAAGTGAGTGATTAAAAAAAATAGATGTCTCTACAGCAGCAAAATCATACATACATAAGGCTGTGCGTTGATGGCTCCCACTAACCCTACCCAGTAGGGTGAGATCTGAGGATCATAGTTCAAAGTCAGCTTAGGCTTGAGACTCATCTCCAGTTAGCCAACAGAAAACCCAAAGTGGTGTGGTGGCTCAAAGTGGTAGAGCAGTAGCCTTGGGCAAAAAGAGTAAGAGGACTATTTCTCTGTAGAACACTGAGAATAATACTAACTTCTTAAAGTTTAATCTAAAACCTTAGCTATTTTGAACACGTTTTATTCACAAATTTACAAATTTAAGACTTTGTTAAAAAATCTTAACATTAATCTTATAACATTAAATTTCTCTAAGCGATTGACTCAGTTTTTTTAAATTCGCTGAACTATTTCAACTTTAATTCTGTAAAATACTTCAGATTTTGGAGGAGGTCAACGGATAAACATAACCTATTGTCTTTTAACATTCAGAAGGGGTTTAGAATCATAATATGTTGTTATTCTAACACCTGGAACATTAAAGAGAATGATACATTAGAAAAGCACATGTTACGCTTTTAATTTGCAACGCTTAAGAAAATATAATTAGGCTGGAGATACAGCACTTGCATATAATGAACAGTCTAGACATGCCAACTGTTCAAAAATGAAGAATAATAAAGATAAGCATATTAAAATATGCCATAAAAGTTTTCAAACTAGCAGGAAAACAGTGGTTCATACCTGTAATCCTAGTTACTCAGGAAGCTGAGATCTAAGGATTGGAGTTTGAAGCCAGCCCAGGCAGTTCAGTCTGAGAGATTCGTATTTCCAGTTAACCAGCAAAAAGCCAGGACTTGAAATATGGTAGAGGCTCAAGTGGTAGGGGGTCAGCCTTGAGTGAAAAAGCCAAGCGAGAGTGTGAGGCCCTGAGTTCAAGCCCTGGCACCAAACAAACAAACAAACAAACTTTCCAAAATAGTGCAACACTGGCTAAAGAGTCTTTTTAGATGAATATCTCAGATGGCTTTCCAAAATGAACCTTAGTTCTGAGGCATTACTCTATATTGCATGCAAATCAGCAGGGAATGGAAGTTATTTAATGATTGGTGCTGAGGCAAAACTAAGTTAGAGCTTACATTCTTATTGGAAAAGGGTGTTCTATGCGTAAGAGAAATGGGAAAGGTTATACACGAAGAGTATGGTTTTCATTGGGTAATTGTTGGCTTATGACTTGAATGTGGGATTTGCAGTGATTCTCATACAGTTAAGAAACTAATTTAATATACAGAATGAATTACCTAACCAGAAAGGCAATGAATGGTAGCTAAAATAAGTTTAACAATGGATTCTTGACAATGAAATTTATTTAAACTTAAACTGTATAATTGAACAGGAAATGTTTATTTTTATCATCTTCATTTGACCTGGTCCTTCTTTTCAATATCAACAGAAGCCATGCAGTGACATCTGCTAAGACTTGTTTGGTAGCCATGTCGGAGCCCCACAGGGTCCAGTTCACCTCTCTCCCAGGTTCTCTGAATCCTGCATTTTTGAAGAAGTCTCGAAAAGAGGAAGTTGGGGGAGCAGAACAGCATCAGGACTGTGAGCCAGCTGCAGCAGCTGTTCGGATTACACTCACCCTCTTTGAGCCAGATCACAAACGCTGCCCAGAGTTCTTCTACCCTGAGCTGGTGAAGAATATACGTGGAAAGGTGAAAGGCCTTCAGCCTGGAGACAAGGTACTCTTGAATGTCCACAATTGCACTGCAGACATAACATGAAGGGGTCAGCATGTGCATGTGGGCCTTCCTAGCAGAGAAGTAAGTCTAGAGAGGCCCAGGCTGCCCAAGATCCCTCATCACAGCAAGCACAAGGCCAGCCGGTCCTGCCACTGGACATGAAGGGAGAGCATTCTTTCTAGAATCACTCTCCCACTTACACTAGAGAGAAGTGTACAGTGTTACAGCCAAGGCAATTTGAGTCTGGCTAATTAAATAAGTGAAAGAAACTGCATTTTTGTCATGCTGAAGTTGTAAATGAGACTCTTGATTGTTGCAGTGCTAGGGCTTTGCTGGGCATTTTCCTTTTCAAGGGCATTTCCCTCTGACTAGCAGGACAGACAAGAAGGGACTTACTGCCCATCTCTTGGAAATAATTTTTAGTACTTTTCTTTCTCTATGGGTGGAAACTTGCTTCTGCCTCTCCCCCTGCCCCCCCAATCACTTGTAACTTTTCAGTTTGGTTTCTTAAATGATTTCCTTGGCAGATTTGTTTTGCCAACCACTAAGAAGTTCATATTAAATCCAGTAGTGCTAAGCACTGGTGGGATTTCTTAGTAATCTCAACCAGTCAAGTTATATGTGGTCATTGTAGAAAAATTAGAGGATACAGATTAACACAAGCTTTTAAATCACCTATTTATATTATGTACTGAAATGGCACATATATGATAGTCCTTATGAGTAGATAATATAACCACTTGTTTTGTTTTTTGAAAGGCAGTAGTTCTAGAGTCTGTTTGTTTTTGTTTTTGTTTTTTTTTGGGTCCGGTCGTGGAGCCTGAACTCTGGGCCTGGGTGCTGTCCCTCAGCTCTTCAGCTCAAGGCTAGTGTTCTACCACCTGAGCCACGGCGCCACTTCTGGCTTTTTTTCTTTTTGCTTATGTGGTGCTGAGGAATCGAACCCAGGGCCTCAGGCATGCAAGGCAAGCACTCTACCACTGAGCCACCTCCCCAGCCCAAGAGTCTGAACTTAAGGTTTCAGACTTGCTAGACAGGTACTCTACTATGGGAGGGTCTTCAGCTCTTTTTGGTGTAGTTATATGGAGGTAGCATTTTGCCCTTTGTCTGGGCTGGCTTGGCCCATGGTCCTATTTATGCTTCTTGTGTAGT